AATTGGGTGATCCTGTATATAAAGATTGATTTTTTTCCTCATATTTTTTTTTGTGTTTTTTTAATGATTTTTGGTAGTTTCTTTCACCACGGTCAAATGGCGGACAACGGTACTCCATGAATTAAGTCAGTTCTTTCAATTTCCTATTAAAACTAATATCTATATATATATTTGTTCAATTCCTTGTTCCTTTTTTTCTCTTTGCATCTCTTTTCTACTTCTCATCTTAAAAAATAGACATCACTCTTAAAAAATTAAGAAAGTATTTTCCTACTTTGCCTCAAAATACGATTACAAAAATTTACTAAACTAGGTGTGCAAAATTGAGGTTGTTAATGAATCATAAAATTCCTAAAGAGATTCGCTGGCTAATTGAAGCATCCGATTATCAAGTGAGTCTTCTTCTTCATTTCACACATGCCTGGAACAGGTAAAAGCACTTTTGCAAAGAAACGTCGTGCAAAACGACTGAAAGTCTGTCATCGATGTGACAGATGGATTTGCAATATATAATGTTATTTTTTAGGAATGGTATTTATAAACCATGAAGATAAAATACTATTCATTAAAGATGGCCTGAGTAAAAGGTCTTTAGATAATCTTTTATTGACTCTTGAGACGCATCCTAGTAGAGATATGCATTGTGCAATTCATGATTTATGGCCACTATTCCATAAAGAATATGCTAGACATAGTCTTGAAAAGCTGGCTAACAAGGACCATGCTTGTCAGTTTTTAAGAAAATTGGATGAGAAGCTTATCCCTGACCCATAGAAGGCATTTAAGCCGTTCTTAAACGTAAAACCAAGGAAATGTGTGAGACATAATCACAACTACAATTTTAGTCTTAGTTTGTAAAAATTTATGTCTTTTGGTTTTATTAATAGAGCATAATATTTGAGTTTTGTTGTTTCTTATATTTGTTTAAGTGTGTTTTAGGTTTGTCAATAGTCGTTATTTCAGGTCATGTTTTTTATACTCTATCTTTCTACCTTAGAACATTGAGGACTATGTCTCGTTTTGGTTGGGGGAAGGGTAGTAGTTGATATTAAAAAAAAACTAACCATGTTTTCTGTTTCATAAACCATTTGTAAACTGTTGTTACTAAGATGGTAAAGTAAGGAAGAATTTTATTGACTCTTGAGACGTATCTTGATTAACATTTTTCAATGGTTATTTGCAATATTCATAACAAAGTCTATCATAATACTTCTTGAAAAATTTGGGTTTGCAAACTGTCGCATTGTTATTACTTAATTCTGCTCATATACTCATTTAACATGTATTTTTAAACCTTATTTTTTATACACATTTTAAGACAAGATTGTGGTTTACACATTGTATTATTATATTATTTATGTTCTTTTATTAAAGGTAACAACTAAGAAAAAGAAATAATATATAATTTGAAAAAAAATAAAAAATAATATAAAAATATAAATAAGTTTGGTTTCATAGCCTCCCTCCCTAACCTAAGCAATTAATTTCGTAGCCTCCTTAACCTAAGCAATTAAGCTCGTAGGGGTGTTTTAACACCTAATACCCTAAAGTCAACTGACTTGGGAGCTATTGGCCCAACGCTTGTTACATGGGTTGAGGAGAAAAGCTTAAGGGAATCAAACATTGCACTATCTACGTATCAATATCTGCAACCGGAGTTACTAAAACTCGTAGAGGTGTCTCAACACCAATGCCCTAAGACCAACTGGTCTGGAAGTCATTAGCTGAAAGCTCGTTACATGGGTTAAAGATGCATTATGTTTTAAGTTACATGTATATATATTAAAAAAAACAAAAAAAAAAGAAGAAAAAGAATCCCAACCCAAGAAAGTTAACCTTAAACATTAGAAATTTTTTTTATTCTCTTCAAAGTAAAGCCCCATAACTATGTATTGATAAATTGAGCACAAAAAAAAGGTTTATTAATATCTTGTTTAAGAGGCATTGAGCAGATATATAAATTTAATGAGAGTTTGTTTATCTCGATAGATTAATAGAAGTTGAATGATGAATACCTTGCTTTGTGGAATTTGCAAATTATTTTTCTATTTTAACGCTTTGATTACTAGAGACCGGTAATGAGCTAGTTTGGGGGTGTGATTAGTACTTAAAAGTGCATTTTTATCATGGTTTTATATCATCATTTTGCACTTGAAGTATCAATAACTCCTTAACTAAAGCATGTTTTATAATAATATATCTAATAATATAAGATACCTTTAATTTGTGGTAAATGTTCATTTTAAATGCAGGCCTATCACATAAATGAAAGGATTGATTGATGACTTGAAGAACTTAAATTGCAAGGATAAAGAGATGGCCAAACTTAGAAACTATAGATCTCAGATTTAGGTCTACTTTATATGGATGGACAGGTAAGACATAGGCTTACAACTTTCATGTGGAGGTCTGTTTTAAAAAGAACATTTTCAAGACCAAATTATAGCAATAACGAAGAAATCTGAATTTATCTTACAACCTCTTTCATTTCCTTTCGTTTATTTAGTTAACTTTTATCTTATTTATGTTTTTATTTTGTTTATTTATTTTTCTTTTTTTCATTAAGTTTAGCTAAGTTTATTATGTCAAGGTGAAAAGGTTACACTAATGGTGTGAGAATAAGTATAGTGTAAACTTAATATGGACTTTAATGTTTGATACTAACATGTTTTGTGTTTGTTATCTTATTTACTCTTTAATACTTTGCTTGCTAAATGACTAAGCTAGATTTATGTTGTATAACACTTGGTATAACAAATGTTTAACACTTTCATAGCCATACTATATGGGATAATTGACACCTGAGCTATGAAAGGAATTTGATTTGTTGTTAACATAAATTATAATCATGAATGTCTGACAACATTTACAAGTATTAGCATTATTCAAATAACATAACTAATGTAATCATATTAACAATTTATAATATGATTGAAACCTCTTTTGTGTGTGGTTTCCAATTGAGTAATAAGAGTTTATACTATACTTGTTTGACATACTATTAGTGGATCATCTAACCTTGATATTTGTTGTTATCATTGTCTAATCCTTACATTGATCTTCCATCTCAAAGTTCTCATCAACTTCTTCTTTTTTTATTATTATTACCACTATTATTGTTGTTGTTATTGTTGTTGTTGTTACTATTATTGTTGTTGTATTGCTATTATTTATAATTTATACAATTAACCTCTCTATGGTTCGACCTTGGTCTTGCCGAGTTATTTATTACTTCAACACTCCTACACTTGAAAGAAGATATCAATCTTTTGGTTGTGTCAGATCCCTAGTAGCTTATCAAAAATAGATAAAATGGTATACTTGTTGAGATGAAGCTAAGTCAAACTCATATTGAAATAACAAAAAACATACCTTACAAACCATTATAAGAGAAATGGGTACCTGAACAGGTACATACATACGAGAACAGTAATGATAAAGTTACACCCAACAAGTTTGGTAATGATATGGGTAACTCAGTCATTAGCTTGAGGCAATAGTATCATAAAGTCCCTTAATTGTCTAGAATTCGCTAAAGTTACTTACTCATACGATATTGTGCTTTCTGTCTTATCCTAAAGAGTCCCAGGTAACCTTAGTTGTCATTGGAGGTTTGTAACCTCTTTAAAGACAACCCCATCCCTTTTCAGTAAAAGAGGGTTGACCAAAATCGTGTTTCGATCTAGGGTTTATTTTAATTACAACGGGTCCTTATTGAGTGATTTTAGTTTTAAGCTTGAAACTGAAATCTTTCTTAGAAGAAATAATCTTCTTGTCCTATTAAACATTTATTTTAACAAAGAATAAAACTTCAAAATAAGAACAAGATGGAAAGTTTTTTGTGTTTACCCAAAAGAAGACTTTTCTGCCAAAAATAAATAAAACTTGATCTTTTCTTTTAAGACTCCTATTACAGAAAGTGTAGAAAGAAATTTTAGCAAATGTAAGAAATTGAATTAAGAAATCAAAGAGTTTATATAGACTACCGCCTCTTATACCCATCAACAAATAAAGGATATATGACATCATATCATAACCTTATGAAGGCTAAAAGCCTACCACATTAATTACATGTAACCGAATGGTCTTCTAAAAGTGATTGTTCAACATCCCTTTAACAATATTTAAAATCAATATTAACAGGTATTATGTTTCTAAAAAACACATACATATAGTGAAAATAGCAAATTAAAATTTTTCCAGGAGTCCTAAAGATCTTATTAGACAGATCTAGAGTAATTTAATGATTGTGTAAACATTACATGAAAACTAAATGTTCTTTTTCACTTTGAATAATTGCTTCAAGGCTGAATTATTGTGAATCACAAGTTATTTAAGTATTCAGCCTTTAATGGTAATCTATACGAATTAGTAATGAGAAATCTTTTAAGTATTTTTAGAAAAGAGTGATTGCTATATCTTAGAGTACTAGCTCTTTTTCTTTTATATTCTAGATGTTTAAGTATTGTACTCTATTCACTTTCTCTTAGGAAATAAAAGGCATATCATTTATTTATAGGAAAACTTAAAAATCCCATAAATAACAAAATATCAATTTACTTCTTAAATAATATCACAAATATTATTTTATAATGATTTTATAAATTTATTCAATCAAGCTCCTACTTGATTTTTTCTTAGCCTAGAATTGTAATTCATGTATTAACCATATTCTAGTAATCACTTTTAAAAATTTATTCATAATCAAATCATACTTGATTAATCATCCCATTTTAATTTTTGACCAATGATTCTTATATGTGTGACCTATTAAGTCTCCTAATAAATTGGTCTAAATATACAACATAATCCTAAATAAAACAAGATTAAATAAATAAAACTATTTAATTTATTTTTAATTTGATAATTAATTGATTTATATTCAAGTACAATGTTTAACAACATGTTATGATCTTCCTAAATATTAGAAAAGTTGTAAATTGTTTGACTTCTCTTTTGGTAACTAATTTCTAAGTATAATTATTATCTTTTCATCAAGAATATTCTGTTTAGATAGTATTATAGTATAAAGTATGTCTACTTTGCTAATTCATTTTAGTTTTTAATATTATAATTATTTATTTTTTGAACAAGATTTTGAAATTCTTTTCAAAATTCATTTTATCTTTGGCAAGGATCTTAGAATTAATATTATTTGAAAACATATAAAATATTTTTTTAAATTTATTTAAGGTGATAAATCCTCTCTTAATTAATCAAATATCTTTATATAGTTTATGTTATACATAATAAATTATGATTTTAATATATTTTAATATTTTTAAAAATAATAATTATTAAGAGGGGTAGTTAGGCGGTTTGGTCAAATATGAGAGATTTAGATGGGAAACGTGTGCTTTAGAAGCTTTCGGTTGTGGATTTAGTTTCCACCCATTCCATTCCCTAAAGGGAGTAAATAGCGTTTGGTACTGTTTTTTATTTGAAAAAAAATAATTTTTTTTAAATTAATATATTTTTAATATTTTTAAATTATTTTGATATATTAATTTAAAAAATAATTAATATTAACTATTAATATTATACTAGTTACTTTTAAAAATTTCTTTTAGAGAAAGAGATCGACAAAAAAAATAATATAAAATCCATAATTAATCCATAAAAAATAATACAAATATCTTTATATAGATTTTTCTATCTTGGTAGTATCATTTTATTTTATTTTATTTTTAAAGTGAGTTTTAAAAATAAATAATATGATACAACTAATTATTGTATTATAAAATTACTTGAAAAAAAATAAATGAGGTTTTATTTCTTCAAATTTGTGTATATTTTGGACATTATGATTTTCAAAAATCAATCTATATATAACGACTCCAATGGAACCAAAATTAATTAAATTTACCTTAAAAATTATCCATGTAAATAAACTAAAACTACCTTTAATAATGTATTTGCACTGTGTTCAAAAATGATTTTTAAAATACATTTGGGCTGAAAATGAATCAAACTTGATGATTTCATAATTTAAATATATTAAAACATCTGCAATACCTTATTGAACAGATACTAAGAACTAATTCACAAAGAACTACACTTCACACGTTCGCTCCAAGGAAATTAAGTTGGAGGATCTCTGCCTGTTAAACTCATCCATCCAATTATTTTTTTTATGTTAAAAAGAAATAAATTGCTCAGATACCATCCACTTGGTCATCATAAATCATAAACAGCACATATGACGTCAACTGAAATGGAACATGAAATGCTGAATAATTACCTGCTAGCAGGGGCAGATGAAGAATTCGATCGCAGATCGTACAGCTGTGACACAAATAAATGCTTTGCCCCCCCAAATCCCGTTTCTTTCAATTATGAAGAGAAAAGTAGATTTCCTGTTTTGTTTTAGTTTTTTGTCCTCATGTTATTGAATAAGTGTCAAGGCGACTGCTATAAAAAACACCCCTAGGTCGCCACAAATGCTATAGCTAGTTCCAATCTTTTCTCACCGGCAGTCACAGAGCAACGCTAGCTCTAGCTGAGAAAAGAAAAATTAAGGAAGATGGTGAACGTTTTAACAATGTACATGTCATTGTTGCGTGCCCTAATGAAGCTAGTCGGCGTGAAACCTCAAGCAGTAGAGATTGAGCCAGGGACAGTGATGCGCTTTTGGGTCTCAAGTGATCAGACCACGAGCAACACCAAGAACAAACCAGATAAACCCGCCGTGGTGTTTGTTCATGGTTTTGAACTAGACGGAATTCTAACATGGCAATTTCAGGTGCTAGCTTTGGCCAAAGAGTACTCAGTTTACGTGCCCGATTTACTCTTCTTCGGAGAGTCAATTACGGATAGAAAAGAGAGAAAAGTGGCTTTCCAAGCTGAGTGCATTGCTAAGGGTCTAATGAGGCTTGGTGTTGAGAAGTGTACTCTGGTTGGGATGAGCTACGGAGGGTTTGTTTGCTTCAAGATGGCTGAGATGTACCCTGACTTGGTTGAGTCAATGGTGGTCAGCTGCACAGTTATGGCCATGACTGAATCCATCAGTCGTGCTGGCCTGGAGAGAATTGGCTTCTCATCTTGGTCGGAATACTTGATGCCTGACACGGTCAAAGGGGTGAAAGATTTATTGCTGGTTGCGACCTATAAGTTGCCATGGATGCCAGATTTTGTTTTCAAATCCATGTTGGAGGTACTTGAGTTCCTTTATCATTTCCAATTTGATTGGTGGCTACAGCTAGTAATTAATCCAAGCTTTTATAATTTCCTCCTTGTTTGCACTAAAGCTTTAGTCCCATTTGAACTTGTTAATAAAAAATGGACACAAGAGTTCCGTAATTGATTTCCGCCCTGTGTTCTTTTTGCTGCCAATATTGGTGCAATCGCAGGTCATGTTTGACAACAGGAAGGAGAGACTTGAACTTCTTCAGGAATTAGTTGTCAGTGATAAGGATTTCATTGTCCCTCGTTTTTCACAGGTCAGAAGAGGATTAATCAACACTATCATCACTGATTCTTTTTCTTATAAATACTGTTCTTTTGTTTTATTGGTAGTTTTTACTTTTAAATATTTTTAAAAAATATATTTGTTTTGAAAAAAAATAAATTAATATTTTTTAATATGTTAATATTAAATATTATAAAAAATCAGAAAAAGGTTTTTTTAATACAATTTCAAAAGAAAAATATTTTTAAAAATTAGCATAAACCATAACATCAAACAATCATACAATTCAAGCAATTTATTTCGTTTGTTTAGTTGAATCCTGAGAACTTCTAGATTTGTCTGCCCTATCTAGGTTTAGCTTATTTGTATCCAAAAAGAAAATATTAAAAAAAAACTAAATTAAAATATTTAGAACTGTACTGTGAAATTTGATTTTTTTTCTTAAAACTTATTATTTTTTTATATTATTGGATCGTTTTAATATATTGATATTAAAAATAATTTTTTAAAAATAAAAAAATTATTTTTATGTATTTTAAAAAAACACTTTAAAAAATAATAATAATTATTTTTTCAAATATATCTGGAAGTGCACCAAAAAAGGAGGTTAGTCAAAATTTAATTTTCTATCTAAAATTTAAATTTTTATATTTTTTAATAGTTTTAATATGAAGATAATAAAATAATTTTTTTAAAAATAAAAAATATTATTTTAATTTATTTATATGTAAAAATCACTTAATTACATGTATGATAGCTTGTTTCATTATTTCTTTATCTGCCTTTTTCTTCGGCTCAAAATCATTGAGAGTATTTGTTTTTCTATCATTGCAGAAAATACACCTACTGTGGGGAGGGAATGACTTAATTTTCAACATGGAAGAAGCTCGCAACTTAAAAGAGTATGTCTTTTTCACTGTCAAGTTTAATGGCTTTAGTTTAAGTAATTGCTTGTTACTGTGTTTTTAAAATAATTTTAAAAAATTTTAAAAATATTTTTTTCTCGCTTTAAATTATATTTTTAACGTATTAATATGAAAAATAATTTTTTAAAAATAAAAAATATTATTTCAATATATTTTTAAATAAAAAAATTATTTTAAAAAGCAACAATATTATTACAAATGAGCTATAAATAAATTCAACCATAAATAACGCTGTTTCGTACTGTTTCAACTAGAACATCCGGTTCCCTGCTATTTATTGATAAAACCATTTGGGGTTGGATAATGAGATGGGGCCTGGAATTAACTGCGGTTTCCTTCAGGCAACTAGAAGGCAAAGCAACGTTGCAGTTCATCGAGAATGCAGGCCACCTGGTTCAATCGGAGCGACCTTCTGCCTACAATAAGCACCTCAAGAAAATCCTTGCCTCTTTGCACGAAGATGGAAAGACAAAATAAGAGCTGAGCGTATCCTGCTCCTTGTCTTCGTTCGTGTCACCTAGGGTTCCTGAAACTACTGTTTTGATTGCTAAATCAGTATGAATCAGGTTCGTTGATGTGGAAATATATGTGAAGCTTCACATATATATATATTCAGTATATTATTTAAACATTTGTTCATCACAAGCATTATTTTTGTATTTTAGAAGTATTTTTTTAAAATTAATTTTATTTTTCCTCAGCTGTAATTTCAATTTTCTGACACTATAAAAAAGATTGTAGGGTCCAAAACTGATTGTTGACAGTATAGTTTTTATTGCCTGAGCTCCTATCGTCTCGCAGTAATGTTTTCGTTCTAGGCAAAATTAGAAACTTCAAATTACTGGGAGCCTCAAGTTAGAATCAAATGGTGTTTTGCTTAGGAATTGTGGCCACCAGCACCTGTCACATTTTGTTTACAAGTGGAATGCTAGCGACGGCTGTTTTGGCGACGGCTAGCGACAGTCCCCTTTAAATTATTTTTATCAAAACAAAATCATTTATAAAAATAATAAAAATCATGTTTTTATATTCTCTTATAATATATATTTTTATTGAATTTAAACATCGAGAATCTGAAAATTTTAATTAAAAATGTAGTTGAATATGAATTTTATATTGAATTGAGTGAGAGTTAATATGATTAAATTCAATTGATTAAATAATTTAATTTTGATTTGATTGAATCAATTAAAATTCAAATATGATTTGATTTTTTTTATTTTCTTAAAATCTAGTTTAATATTAATTTATTTCACATTTTGTCTCCTTGAAAAAGGAAAAATTATTTTCCTCCTCTAATATAATATAGGTTGGCATGAATAATAAGCACGTGTTCCATAATTGGAGTTACTGATCCTGTGGTTCGTGTAATCTTTTGACGATTGTGTACAAGACGTGTTTGACTTTCTAACGGCGAGGACAGCGGATGCAAAGGTGTTGACAATAGACAGAGTTCAACTTTGAAATGAATTAGCATTTATAATTAAAATTCAAATCGGTAATACGATATAAAAATTCTCAAATTATCCTATATTTTAAAATTAGTATGCTGGTACAATACTGTAAAGCATGATATAGGTATCCAAACCATCATGAAGATATATTTTTTTTATTTTAAAAATTATTGACACTTGTTGAGTCTAACATAACGGTTAACCTCAAAACTCTAAAATATTTTTTATTTTTATTTATATTTTAAAAAATATTATTAATCCATTGTATAGCACAAACTAATATACTAAATTAATTTAAAATGCAATTTAACCTTGATGCAAAAGAGATATATTAGTATTATATACATATAAAATATATATAAAATATTTTTATTTTTTTTAATTTAGTATAATATCCACATACCCAATAGTAACATTATACATACAAATATAAAATTTATTATTTATCATTTAATATGTGTATAAAACTTAAATACATTGTTTTATTTTATTTTCTATTAAGTCGTGTGTGTGTGTGTGTGTGAGAACCTGGAAAATCATTTAATATGTGTATAAAACTTAAATACATTGTTTTATTTTATTTTCTATTAAGTCGCGTGTGTGTGTGTGAGAACCTGATCTTCACCCATCATTTACATAGGTGAGGTTTGGACACTTTTCCATTTATTATGGAAAAAACATTTATTTTTGTGATGCAAAATGGTTTTTGAAGAAAAATGATATTTTTTTAATTTTTTAAATATTTTTAGATTGTTTAGATATACAAATGTTAAAAATATTTTAAAAAATTATTTTATTACATTTATTTAAAAAGCAATTAGTATCATAATATCAATTGAATTTTGATGTGGTCCATGATTAAAAAACATAATAAAAATATATATTCAGACTTGTTCATAATTTATATTTTTTACATTAAATATTTATTTGAGTATTAAGTGTTTATAATAATAATAATAATTTATGTAAATTTCAAGTATAGATAATTTGAAGTTAATGATAGCATGCTAATTTAATTTTGTTTGTGCTCATCGTCACCCACGCCTCCAAGTGATCTGTATATAATCTTGTGCATTGAATTCAGTACTTGACAATTTATTGTAGGTTGCAATTTGCGAGAGGTGGCGACAGGTGACTTCATTACAGAAGCGCCAATAAATTAGGAAGTAATGAATGGCCTGGGTTCTGTCTGCCTTGTGCAGGCAGTGACCGTTCGTTCAGTCAACTTGAAGAGAAAGAGCATGTTTATTTCACCCCCTTCTGGGCTTTGCTTGTTCGCACAAAATGCTGGTTGAAACCAAGTTGTCGCAATGATGTAAAGTAATTTGGACGTCTTTCTTCTGGAGAGTATTCCATTCCCAGGAGATTTCAGATTCAGAGGTGTTTAAAAGTGTAATAATAATTATTTTTTATTTAAAATATATTAAAATATTTTTTATAATAACTCGAAAAAATACATATGGAAAGGCTAAAAGCAAGTGTACAGCTAATGGGCTGAAATCCCAGATCGCTTTGCTGCATAGAAACCCAAAATTAAATGAACTAAAAAACTAGTCATCCTACCCATGAATTGTCCACCCCATTCCAATAGAAGTTTGTGGCTCAAAGTCACCTCACAAAGAAGACCACCAATCCCAAACAAACCAAGAACAAAGCGAGCAACCCTGCTGTTGTGTTTCTTCATGGTTTTAGATTTAATGGCAACCCAACTTGGCAATCTCAGTCGCCAGCTTTGGCTTAAGAATACTCAGTTGACGTGGATGTTCTCTGCTTCCTTGGGGTCTCACTCACTGATAAAACTGAACTCACCCGCTTTTCAAGCAGAATGCATGGCCGGGGCGGGGGGGGGGGGGGGGTCTGAGGAAGCTTGGAGTAGAGAACTGTACCTTGGTTGGATTGAGCTATGGAAGTATTTTTGGGTTCAGGATGGCTGACTTGGGTGTTTCGTTCGTTACAAATTTTTTTAGATCCAAACCTAAGATAGAAAACGAATAGTTTTTGTCAGCACCAAGAATGTTTCTTTAATCACAATTACTTTTTTTTTTTTTTTCCCAGTGGGAGGCTCAGTCAGGGGCATTTATATATGTTGTTTACAAGATTAATTATATGATGAAACTTTGAACTCTGATTCCAGGAATTTACTGTAAGATGATCTAAATAAATAACATGTGAACAAAAATTTGATATCAATGAACTATTGATTTTTTTATTTAAAAAACACTTTTATATATATATATATATATATTTAGTTTTAAATTTATAATAGCTAATCAAAAACTAATAATGATAATAATTAATTCTTTAATTTTATAGCTTTAGAATTCACTATAAAAAAAATGAACGAAGAGTTTTTGACTTGAATTTATTTTTATTTACTTTTTCTCATTTTATATTTTAGTATTTTTTTAATTTATATAGGAATTAAATAATAATTATTTTAATATTGTAATCTCTACGGTTATTGTCTTGTTCTATTATATATATATAAATAGAAAAGGTTGGCTAAAGTACATTCTAAGTCATTCTATTATTTTTAATTGAGGTTATTTGAGAATATAATGCAAACTGTATTCCTTCAAATTTTTATTTTTTTAATGTTTTTATATTATTTTAATGAGTTGATATAAAAAATAATTTTTAAAAATAATAATAAAATATTATTTGAATGTATTTATAAGTGAAAAACACTTTGCACTACAACAACTACTATAATCTCAATCAGGCTCTAAATATTTTTTTTATTTTAATTTAAATGTATATACTTTTTTAATTATAATATGCAAGCTAGATCTTTAAATTAACATCAATTCCAAGTTTGATTATATGTTTAATATGCATATTAGAATTGTTTTATTATATTTATATTAAAATCATGTTTGACATTTATATTTTTACATGTTTATAATTTTAAAAACATATAAATAATAAATTTGCTAAGACCTAAATGTCTTCAAAATGTGTCTTAATTTTGGCCACCATCAAATATAATTAATTAGTATAATTTTTTTTATGAACTAAAAGCTAGATTACGAGAGAAGTGTGGATAAACGAGTAACATAGATAATTTCATTAATTACAAAGCGGATAATAGAATATGATCTGAAATAAATCACAGTGCAGAGGACAACTGATACGAGCATCAACATTTCACAAAGATTTGCATGTCGGGTGATAAAAAGGTAGCCTGCCCGAGCCCTGGATTTCACTGCAGCTTGACATACTTCAGAAGCCTATAAAGCAAGACTGATCTATTTTAATTGAAACCTTTTGAGGGAGACTCATGTAATCAAAAAAATATTTTAGAATTTGATTTAATTGCTATGTTGTATTATTCTTCACTATTTTTAAGGAAATGGAAATGACATAATTCCAATTAAATTGGATGTTTCATGGACTTGGGCTATGGTCGGGTAATTGAGTTCAAACCTTGAAAATGCTGATCAGTTTTTCTAAGGCACAGAAGAAGGCACAGAGCAGAAAGTTGCTAGAAGGGCAGTCTAATTGAAGAGAAAAGGTTACCTATACAGCATGAAGAATTGACTATAGCAGTGGATAAGTAGATGCGATCCGAATCAAGTGGCATAGAGGACCGATTTGTGCTTTAAGGAACATGATAAGAAGTTATTGAAGGAAGGAGCTTGTCAGAGGTAGCTTCTTGGAACCAAGGCTGAATGTTGCCCCTTTTAGTTTTAGTTCATGGACCTAGCTACCCTGCCATGAAATCCTGAAAGATTCTCAATATGAAGGATGCCACATGCAATTTGTTCTTATAAACCTTAGTGCATGGGCGTAAAGATTTCAACGTTATGACTTGAAGATTGGTACTTGAATTTAGTGTGATCTTGGTAATCAACACGCTGGATCCACTGCCTACGGTGACTTTACAATTTCCAGAAGTCATATTGCGTGTGTTCTTGAGGGCTTTCGATAAATGTACCGCTCTACTGTGTAAATTGTTTTATTACATCCCTCCATCAACATAATATAATATTCTGTACTTGTACGGAAGAGGTTTCATTCAGTATTATCCCTCCATTTGTCTATGTTTTCTCACGAACATTATAACTTAATGAATTAAATCATGATACGTCAAAAAAATTACTAATCCTATTAGATGCAGGTTGTTATTTAATAAAAATTCTGTTGCGTAGGGATAAAATAAAATATTGATATGAGTAGACGGATCAAGTAAACTATCTCAAAATGTCATGTTCTTAATACAACAGCGCTTGTGCATAAGAAAATGTCGAGCCTGGGACACATCAATCTTGAGCGACAAAGCATTACCTTTCTTCTTCGTTTGTACTGCTGCAGCTTCTGTAATTAGGAATAGGAACACGGCCGGACTCGATATATTTAAGATCTTCAATGAGGATTTCGTAGTGTCTCTTCACTTCCTCAGCTGATTTCACACCACCAACAGCTTTGGCTATATTTTGCCACCGGTCCGGTGTGTCCTTGTCAAACAAGGCTAGAGCCTTTTCAAACAGTTTGTTTTCCCTTGGTGTCCAAGAGGAGCTAGAATTCCTTGGAGTTTGATAGCTGGAAGACATATTCTCAATGCCAAGTCTAAAATTTTGATGGAAAAGCAGAGACACGGGACTCTTTTGCAAATAGAAGAATATTAGTTGGGCTGATCACTGAGTAAGTGAACATAAGAGAGCAGGTTTTCATTGAAGAGGTGTTTTGAGATACTGAGTGGCTAGTGTGCAGTGCTTATAAATGGTGGAGAAAGAGGCTGTGGTGATGGCGGGTTGGATCCAGTTGGAGAATCTATGTTACCAAAAGGTAGCATAAGGTGTGACAAGGCTTCTTTGGAACCACAAGATGAAGGAGGACAAGGTACAGACAGGGGCAGCGAGGAATCAGTTTCAAGGAAAGGGTTTTTGATTTTTAATTTCAATTTAAACTTTTCTAAACGTTTTTTTTTCCTTGCATTTATAATATCTTCAAAAGCTTTCCTAGATAATGAACAAGCTAGTTTCGCTGTAAACAACTACGCAACCAGCTAGTGATAAATGCATATAACAGCAAGAAAAACCCATCTCCTTCCTTGATGTTAAGTGGCATTTTTCATGATTGCTCAGGTGAAAATGTGAGCGTGGATAACCACAAAAGGGAAGCCAAAATACTGAAAAGCAGAAAGGAGTAAGGGAATTGAGGGTAAAGAATTACTGTTCATATTTTATTAACAGTGATGATATGACATTAAAAAAACTGTGAAAAATAACAACCATGAGAATTGATATCTAACATGAAAATGGATATCTTTTATTATGTGTCAGACTCAAAATCATGGGATCAGATGGCAGTAGCCTGACATAATCTTTTGGATCTCTGAGAACATACCGCCAAATATAAAGAGAGGAGCTAGCTAGAGGTGCACCGCTGGATGTATTTTCGTGCAGTTTGGATACGTTTCAGACCTTTGGAAATAGAATTTCGGGCTTTTGCTCGCGAACAACATTCCAAAAGGGTCTAGCTGGCTACTTGAGACCGTGCCATGATTTATCTGTATTTGATCATATTGGAGGAAAGCAACAGATGACTTCCGATTCCAATATAGACTCCTCCTGCAACACGGACATCTTGCCACATAAATTGCAGAGTCCGACTCCAACACTGATTACAGATTGCAGCCAACACAAACTGAAACAATTGATAGGATAATTACTTTGCATAGATAGACCCTTGTATGACCGTGATTAAAGGAGATTCAATAGCCATCATCCTTCCTGGTTGTGTGTGTGTGTGTGTGTATCTGTTGCTGTAACAGGAAACACAGTACAAGATTCTTCTGTCTTCTCTGTTTCTTCAACATATTACTCTGTCCTTGTTGTTTCTTCAGATCACTATTATTGTTTGCTTGCTGGATCTGTTCTTCAGGTGCTGCTGGTTTTCTAGTGGATGTGCCCAGTTGGCAATTCATCTCCTCATGCCTTGTCTTGTTAAAATTTTTGCTAGTGTTTTACCTTCTTCTTTTTTTGCATTAGTTTTCAAGATATTTAATTTAACCTGGACCATGCATACTCTACAGTCCTCTCAAAGAAAACAAGATTAAGGCACCATTTGTTTTCTGGGATGTGATGTTTTATGGGATGGATAGTGAGATAATAATATATCAATTTTTTAAAGTAAAAAAATACTGGTGAAGGGCTTTGAACAAGGGCTCATCTAATTATGCTAGCACTAATAGTTAGTGGAAAGTGGTCCTTCGCTATCTATAAGGGCTTAACTTCCCTTGAGGCCAAACTTCTACGTTTGGTGGTCCTTCCTCGCAAGTTGGAGGGTCCATGCAAAGTGCTTAGCTTTGATTATTATGATTTGAAAAAACCAAGGTTTCCATATGAGCATTGCGTCCTTTTCTCTAGAATTAGGCCCCGGAACTCTTGATGGGTCTTAATTCTTTCAAGGCCCCTCTAATCTCTTGGATGTCACGAAAGCAAAAGAAATGTGACTTTTCACGAGCCTGTAAAGTCTACCACTAGTCCACCACCCACGAAAGCTGGTCCATGTGCAATGCCGCTGCCCAAACTGAGATCTTGCATAGAGAGGGGAATCTGTGATCCAAAGATAGAATGAGACTTGAGAGGTCGTGGAAAGGAGAAAAGTGTTCTCTCGGCAATAATATAGCATACAAGGATAAGCAGATAGACGTGCATTTCTTGAGCACCAACCAAAAGGCATCATGCAACCACGGTGATGGATATCTTGTCTGGAGTCTGCGTACGAGTTGACATGAAGCAAAAGGTTTAGCATGAAAGGAAAAACTGGACGGCGAAAGAGAGCAAAAAGAAAAAAAAAAAAAGGAAATTTCAGTTGATAATAATTTTGTGGCTTGGTTTTGATCGAACAAAACAAAATCGTGCTTTCGGTTATTTACCTAAGATAACCGTTCCATATCTTGTGTAGATGCTCAATAGCTTTGAGAAGCAGGGCTAGAGAGTCCCATTGGATTATTGAGGGCCCAACTCAATCCAATTCTCCCGTTTCTGAGAGGCCTAAACTCTGATCCGGCTCGCAGACAAGCAAGTCCTGGCAACAAATTATTGAATGCACTGAAGTCATTGTTTTAACATGCAAAGATTCTAGCTTGTTTTGTTATGGATTTGGGCTCGAAATAAAGCTACGAAAATAGAATTCTCTCGTAAAAATACTTATTTGGGTGTGAACAGTTTGCTTAAAATTAATCAAAAAGGATTAGTATCGATACGTGATGAAAACTGGGTTGAAAACTCTTAGCTGTCAAAAGAAACTGAACCTTGGATTTTCCGGCTTGAAGCCGTAAAAATGAGACTACAGTATCAGTACTACCATATTCCAACTGAAACATCTAGGGCCCATGCTCCATGTCTCTGCATCGAAGGATGTCTTCTTGGATTGTGGGTTACAAGTGAGTTCAAATATCGTTGCAGGCATGTTGCACTTTGATCCAATACCATCCAATTTCTTTAAAAGGAAATCGGAAGCTAGTCCCCAATTCAAATTCCCTAAGAGAGCCGAGCACAAGTTAAGAGTTATTTGTACAATAATTTCGAAATTTTACTTAATAAAATTTTAAAAAATAAATAAGATATATTTATTAATAGTCTTATGAAATAAAAATAATTTCCACTGCAAAATAAAAATTATCCAAGATCTTATTTATCATATACACATAAGAAAATGATAAAATAGTATTTGAACATATTTATTTGCTATATTTGTTTCTATTAATCCTGAAACAGAAAGTTTTATAAAGTTAGAAACTCGATGAATTATATCGGAAATCTATCCAACTGTTCACACTCCAAGCTTTGCCTCGCTAAAAAACATGGTGAAAGATAGCTTGGAGGTTTTTAAATGTGAAATCTTGAAAATATGGTTGATCTTGAAGATAGTATTTATCAAGATAATGTATATCTTATAGATACATTCTAATATTGTGTTACCATATCAGTACCTGTAAATTAGACAGTAATTGTGCTTTGAAAGGAGGCAATCAATGTTGCTGATTCTTCTCCTTAATTGTAGGCCTTCCTGCTATATATATTCTTCCGCTAGCAATAGAATAACATATGTGAATTTAGTATTTTGTTCTTCTTTATTTCTGCTTCATGTTTTTTTCATTGTATTAGAACTAATACTGATCCTTGTTTTCTAAAAACACCCATTCATCATGAGTGGAGAAATTCTCTCCAGCACATTTAAAAATTTAGCATCAAAGTCGATGTTTGAACATGACTTATCTTTACCTTATTTCTTGAATTCTTCTGACAATCCAGGAGCAATTCTTGTTTATTGTCTTCTGAAAGGAGACAATTATCCAACATGAAGGCGTGCTATGATGAATACTCTACGAGCCAAAAACAAGTTAAGCTTTGTTGATGGCTCTTTACTCAAACCAGAAGAGGATAACAAAGAAATTCAGGCCTAGGAAAAATGCAACTCAATGATAATCTCTTGGATCTTTAATGCCTTAGCTTCAGAATTGCATGATAGTGCTGCTTATGTGGATTCAGCATATGAAATGTGGGGAGAATTGCAGGAACATTTCTCTCAAGGAAATATTCCACGTATTTATGAATTAAAAAGAGAGATTTGTCTGGCACAACAAAAGGATCTTACTACAGTAGTCTACTACACCAAATTAAAAGGTCTTTGGGATGAGTTGTCAGCCTACTCTACTGTCCCTGCATGCTCATATGGTGCTGGAAAAGAAATTTGGGTAGAGAGAGAAACAGAAAAGGTGCATCAGTTTCTCATAGGACTGAATGATCAATATGAAATCATTCGATCCCAAATACTAAACATGGAACCCTTTCCTTCAATTAACAAGGCTTACGCATTTGTAACCAAAGAAGAGAAACAACTGGCAATTGCTTCAATTGGCTGTGATCAGCCAACAGAGACAGTAACGTTTACTGTCAAACCTTTCAGGTTTCCAACAAGGGATTTTGCTGAAGAATATCAAAGAGGAGAGACAAGCAAATTCAAATGTTTATATTGTGATAAACCTGGACATTCCAAAGACAAATGTTTTAATCTTGTTGGATATCCTTCAAGTTGGCAAAATAGAGCAAAGACTTCAAATTTTGCCAGATAAAACAAAAACTTTAAAAGGGAACCAGAACATGTTTCATCCAGCAATGCCATCGCAGGTTCAAGTCAGCCTATGGGTAAAGGTTTTAATCTCACTCAAGAACAGTATGAACAACTCATATCCCTACTACCCTCTACTAATCAAAATATAGCAAACTTTGTCGGTAAGGTCACTCACTCATCTGATACTACAGATTGGATTCTAGACAGTGGTGCTTCTGAACATCTCACATGTAATGTACTTGCTATCTCTGATACAAAAATACCTTCTCATTATTTGCCTGTTAAACTACCAAATGGAACATCTGTCCCTGTGCATTCTATTGGTCAGATTCAACTGTCAAACATGACTTTAAATCATGTTTTTTATATACCATCTTTCAAATGTAATCTCCTTTCAATAAGCAGGTTAACAAAAGCACTACAATGTTCAGTCACATTTTTTCCATCTTTTTGTGTCTTACAGGACCTCAAATCGAAGAAAGTGATTGGAATAGGTGAATTACGTGATGGCTTATACTACTTCCATGGATTGTATTTACCTTTTGTCGTAGCAGCATCAATTCCTTTTTCTTCCAACTTATGGCATGAGCAGTTAGGGCATATCTTATTTGATCATTTATCCCTAATTCCAGAATTATTTAGTTTGTCTTTTAAAAATTCAAACAATTGTTGTGATGTGTGTCATCAAGCTAAACAAAATTGAAATTTTTTTCCTTTAAGCAATAATAAATTTGATTTTCCTTTTGATATGGTCCATTATGACATTTGGGGACCATATAAAACACCATCTACGTCAGGTGCTCATTATTTTCTTACCATTGTAGATGATTGT